GTGGTGAGGTGCCACACCACCTTCAGCCCGCGAGCCATGCTTGACACTCCTGTCCAATACACTTTCGGTGTTTGACAACTCGGATACTATTAATGCCCGTCTTGGTTCAGTGCCCGCGCCAGTAGCGTTTCTGCCTCCTAACCGAGAAGGGTTCATGACTCTCCAAAGCTCCACCAGGAGACGTGGGCGTAGCGCACACGCTCTCGACCTCCAATCAATCTATGGCTCATGGTGCTCCAACCATGCCATACCAAGGATGTGGTTATACCTTGATCCCAAGTCTAAGATTAAACAGCGTTCCACGCTAACAAACTCAAGAAACTTGACACAGAGGTCCACAGGGATCCTCGGCACCGTGACACATGTCCCCGTCGCTTAGCGAGCTGTGACAATGTCACTCAATCGCGCTGTCAGCGCCTCAGCATTCAGCTGACTTTCTTCTATCGTGGAGCGTCGAGCTTAATTGCCCGATACCCCGGAGTCGATCAGAATCTTCAATGGCTTCTCAAAGCCCTTCACGGTCGCTTTCACGGCCAGCAAGCCCGCTTGCATACACGGTCCGTGTTCAAGAGCACGGAGGCTCTTCGGGGTTGGTCCCTGCTGACCTCTACCTCTTTGAGGCTCAACAGAACTCAGTTCTTCCCCAGTAGGGCGCCGCACGCCTACTTGGTCATGTCGTCTCCCTGCGACAAACAGGAAGACTGGTGAGAAGCGGGACGTTAATTCGATGAACCTTGACACGCCTTACGCAGGGGACAACCAGTCCAAAGATGACGGGTGTCTCCACAGACAAAACACTGTCGGGTGTTCAAACGCTGCTCGGCAGCTCGGAGTTCTGTCTACTCTCCCTCAGTATAGTTGAGATACATGGGCTCCGTCCCGCTCAACGAGCTGCAAGAGTGTGCATTCCAACCAAGTTGCGCTGACTTGATGTTGAATTTGGCATTCGATGCCAAATACACCGCTTTTTTAAAAGAAGACGGATGCACACGGAGGAGTTCTATTTTGGCCACGCCAGTTTGGAGGCTGGCAATAAAGACGGTCACCGAGACCGCCTCGGGGAGAGAATCGGCTGCCATACCGGCAACGAGAGTACGCAACTCTTGGACAAAGTCCATCAATTCCTTCTTGCCCTGTCGGGCGACAAGGTAACGCGATCGCACGCGATATGCCTGGTCAGGCGGCGAGAACTCTCGTAAAAGCTACAGCTTCAGCTTCGTCCAGAAAACTCAACCGAAGTGACGCATGTCAGTGTCCATTCTCGCGCTCGACCACCGAGCTTGGTTATAGCCAGCGCCAAGTGCTGTTTCTTGGATTGGAGCTTGGTGGAGGCCATAGCCATCTCGGCCTCTCTCGCCCAAAGCAGATGATTCTGTTCATCCTTCCCCTAACGCCAACCATGAGCGGCCTGGGTCGGTAGGATTCATCCATCGTCGACAGTGGTGTCATAGACCGGTCGACGCCAGCATCTTTTGCTCTAGGTGCTCTAGCAGAGCATTTTCATAGCTCGAAAACGCCTCTTGGCGCGCACTGATCGCTTCAGGTCCTCACGAAGCGAGTTGTTGTACGCCCTCAGAGCCAGGCAGAGACATCAGCTTTTTAAGCCCGCCCTGCATGCCCTGGGGCAAATAGGAGAGCTTCTGAATCCTGACAGAGGGTCAGTCGTAACGACTCAGGTATAAATTGACTACGAGTGCTACCAAGAGCAGCGGGGCGGTCGTAGCTCTTTCGCTAAGAGGAAGCTAAGCTAAGGTCGATGATCTTGCGTTCTATACTAGAACCAGTACGGATCTCAATTCGCTTACTCTAAGAGTAACCTCAACCTTAACCCAAGGCAAATAAACTCTGCCGCTCAAAATGTAAACTGTATTTCGTTATTTTATTTGCGGCAGAGCCGCCTATATCTAAATCTATAGGCCTTACTAATTAAATATCAAAACCTTGTTAAAATGCATAACTACTGGCATCCAGCTACGTAGTGGCTTTCTGCTAAGGTCTAGCCACACCATTGTACCATTGTGTTGTCACACCGTTTTGTGTGACCCATCCCTTCATACCAGGGTACGTGTACCCCCGTTGCACTGTCGGAGTTACCCAACCTCGGAAACACAGACCAATCGAATCAAGATCTGAGATTATATAGCTCAATCTATCGAAGGCATCGTCAAGAGCAGCAGACTTGTAACGGAGTACATGTTGCCGTCAAAAACAGCAACACGGGCACTTTACAAAGCGTCTCGACTGGTTGCATGACCCAAGTTCGGATGGGATGGGACACACCTATTGGTGGGATCGAGCGAAGTGAGCATTGAGAAAGATTTAAGATCAAACCGTAGGCTTGGAGTAGCTCACACTTTGCGAGCTAAGGACATAATATATATATACACATTGCCAACTACAGAACAAGTGGCTTTCTAGTACGTGCCCTACTTTACGTACACATTACACTACTGTCACGGTTGTTCCTCGGACATAATAGGGTCAAGATTAGAAGCACCAAAGAAAGGTGTCATGATGAAGCATCATGATCAGCTTGAGGGTGATAGAGCCCGGTCCGGATGGGAGAGGGCCGTAGGACGCGTGGGCTACCTATGCCATACTTTACCTAAAGTTATACTTGAACAGAATGCAAAACAAATATATCTAACATCACTTTAAGCGGGACTTCATTTAAAATTGATGTTACTCTTACATCTTCAGCAAAGAAGCACCTGATTACTTATTAACTCCTCTTATTCTCAAAAGCCATATTTACCTGGAAGATAACGTTAAGTGATACTCAACAACAACAAAGTTATATGGACTTAAGTGTGGACCCGCAGCCCGCGTGCCCCATGGCCTTTTTGTTGAAGTCTTATCACTTTTAATCGTATCAGCTCAAATCACGACACTTCATTGTTGTGCTTTGCTTTGTGTAGTTCTGATTCTTGATCTAAATCCAGGGGGAATAAAGTAACAACAGTGTAATGTGGATATACGCCATAATACGGTTCGTACACCAATGCACCAGGCGTACAGCTTTTCGAGGGCAGAAAATATACTTCTGGTCAAAGGAGTTTGTGATGACAATGTATTTCGACAATATTCCATACAAGACATCAGTAGTCGCGATAACTGTATCCAAGATCGGAGGCCACGTGTGAAATCGGGCACACGTGCGATACCTCGGTATAAGAGGCATCGCTGACAGGCACAAAGATGAATTACAAAGTCTCATTGCTGTGATAACGGTAGACTCTTGTTCAAAGGTATGGTATAAGTTACAAATTTCACGGATGCACTATTAACAGGTCCTTCACCTTTCGCGTTTACCTATAATCTTTCGAGGATGCGATTAATGTTGCATTATTTCTGCGAGAGTACGGGAGATGAGTGTGCCAGAGGTGATGGACCTCGGTCAGGCTGATGAGAAAGGAAAGGATCTTTGCGCTTTCAAACAGCACTATGGTGTCTTGTGTGTCCCCACCTCCCTCGTCCGAGAGGTGTGGTAAGCCGAGCGCTCGCGCAGAATCGATAGACAAGCTCCAAACGGGATAATGTTGAGTCGCGGGAAATTGTGCATGTATGTATGAGGCGGAATAGTAGACAATACTATTCCGTATATGCATTAAAGATGCAGAATATCCGTGCGTCTTGCAACGGAGACACTGATAATTTTGTTACGATCTCTTTTGTACTCTATTGTAGAGTCTGGGGACATTGTCAGCGTTAATTGCTGCGTGGTCACGACATTAGATTGTATACAAGAGTATGGCTGTTTAGAATCAAAGCAATCAGAGTATTTCCAGATGTTCTCTTATACCAATCTCATATAGTAAATCGGTCTTAATTTTTTGACTTGCGGCTAACAGTCACATGTACCGTAGATTCTCGTTTTCAGAGCCTCATCATCTTCAAACATACCGACATTCGGTACCTATGAGTATTCACGATTACACCAGAGTGCCAAACGATTTTTATAGAGTATTGTGTTTGATACAATCAAACCAAATGTGAATCGAGTGAGTACACAATATCGCAGCACTTACACTAATACACCCTTCCCCACTAAGATGTGGACGACCCTGGGGCTCATGTTTATATTATTTCTTAAAGCCTACGCAAAAGTAATCGCACGAGCAACCACAGCACCTGGAGTTCAACTCCACTATGTGTACTTTATCGTGCGAGCTCTTAAGAGCATACTTGCACTAGAAGCTGATGTTGCGTAGCAGAACATATGGTTCAGCAAGCCCTCACAAAAGGCACACTCCTCGCTATTGACACGCGCAAGTAGTGATGATAACAACGTGCACTATAGCAAGATAGCCGTTGAGACTCATCGAGTCCTGACTTAACACTTCCTCTTCACCCAACGGTACGCGGCCTAGATGCTTTATAGATAAGGGGTGCTCACAACACTTGCCCCCCCTATTGTGCGAATCTCAGACTTCGTCTCCTTTTACACCGACGAGAAGTGTTGCGACATGCCGTATTACCCGTCTTTAAACTGCATATGCTAGCTTCAGCAAAGTTTACGTTTGCCTTGAGCGTCGTATCATGCTTGTCCTTGTTATAAATGACAATGCACGGCACGAATGTCGCGATGACAGCTGATCACTCCAAAATTCTGCTGTTAATAGCCCCATCTGTTTTCATAAGACAGGTTTGACCGCTACGACAAAGTCGGTCGCCACTCACTAGTTGAAAGTGTGCTGCAACGGGCGACCCAGCCGGTTCCAGGAGATACAGAGACAAAGGATGCGTCAATTTGTAAATGGTAACGGCATCTGAAAAATATTTCAGAATTCAAACCTTAAACTCCCATGAGTTTTTCTATTGAGGGTATCTCCCCCATACCTCTAGATTCTAGTAACAGCCCTGGTGTACCCGCCGGCCAAACGCTCGACGTCAAATACTTGTTGCTCACACGAGAGCTACAGCTGGCTCTCATGAGCTATATCGGTTGTGACACTCTCCACGAGTGTTGCCATGCGTCCGAAACCGAGATAAGCTTGGTCTCAGACTTGCTCAATAATTTATGCCACCGGATTGCATAGCCCTAGCGGTTCAAAAACCACATCGCTGCGTTTGTACGGAGAGTGGCCCAGATAAAAAAAATTGTCGGCGCTGCTCCATCGACAACAGAGCTCATCAGGTACAGCTGTCCCGTCCGAGCGGGACGTGGTATTTCGAATAGCTCCACGCACAGGACAGAATACCTTTGCATTATCTTTGAGTGTTAAGTGTTAAGATTATAAATCAATCCCTTTTCGCTACGACCGTAAAACGGTCCGATGTAGCGCGGTCGAAGCTTAGTCTTAATAACCACAGACACTGCATGTGTATATTTATTTTGTACCAAACCAAAACTTCTGCCGCATCCATATCCAAGAGTGTCCTGCCATCGGCGTGTTGCTTGTGTACATCCTCGCTCTTAGCCATAACATCGCACACCCTGCGCTTCGCGCCCGTTCTCATTGAGGTAGGGCTATAGTCACTGATTTTGCCACAAAGTGCAGCAAAGCTGATATGAGCACTTCGAATTTGACCGACATCCCTCCTCCAACTAGGACCTGAGCTATTTCATAGTGGTTTGAGAGGCACCCAGGGTACGCCATCTACTTGTGTAATATTGGGTAAGGGCTGTAGAGCCAACGCAAAATCAATGAATGGGAGCAATTCGCTCCAGCTCCGCGGTCTCTCCGTGCAAGTGCTTTAGAAAAATATCCTTGAAAACGCGATTTATGCTTCCGTCCGACTGTCTGTTTGCGAATGGTCGGCAATTGAACGTGTTCAATCTGGTGTCTAGTAACTTTAACAGAGTTCGACAAAATTTTGAACTAAAGCGCGGATCTCTATCAGAAACGATGGCTACCGGTAAGCCAAGCTGATGAAACACGTTTTTTAAAAAAGCTTGGCTGTACTCTCACCGGTTATTGTATTGCTGACAGCAGCAAAAATTGACCATCTTGCTCATGCGGATCACAAATACCACTTTATGGTTTGCCAGCACTCTACCAAGTTATGCAGGCTGGTCAAGGGTTTTAACCCGTTGACACACTCCACACGTGCGCACATTAGAGTTTATCCACTTATACTTGGTGGCCACCACGTCATAGCGTTATCCGAGCAGTATGTATTCTCTCTTTCGGGGTGTCCACCTTAATCGGTATCTTGTTCCTTGAACAGTATTATGTGCTAGAGGTCCTCATCGTGAGGCACCACTACAGGCTGAGTGTCATGTGCGTCAGAGTTGTAATACAGCAAGCGTTAAGATAGAGCATAGCGGCGCAGGCGTGAAGCCGCGCGCATTCTCAACGCAACATATAGTTCTTAAATCTATTGATTTACAAAGCTTTTAGCAACACAACTCATGCCGCGTCTGTACACTGCACGGATCGTCTTGTCAATTTGCGATTTCACTACCGTGAGATGCTATACTTCATTGTCGAGGAGACACGAAACCGCACCCGCCACTCCATCTGACTATACCTTACTTTAAGGGTATACTCGGCAGTGAAGGACAACTACGTTGATATTCTCTGTAAACTATGAGGTGACAACGCCGCTGCGCGCCATGACGCATGATCCGTGTAGATTTCTAGATGTGACAGGAAGATCCTCAACGCAAATAGCTCGTTCTGATGGACAAAAAAGTTCTTCTTAACTGCTTTAAGATGGTGAGACACAAACGCAACTACGCATTAGTGCTCATTGATATGTGCATGAAGTAAAACACACCCGTGTCAAAGTGTCACCGACAACCTAGAGAAATCAAGAAGCCAGAACCAGGAGAAGGACGAGGCTTTTGCTCGTAGCCTTAGAAATTTTTTCTACTGCCGTGTCCCAGCACCATTTAACGTCTTCTTTAAAAAGGTTGGTGAGGAGTCGTGTCACGTCAGCATAGTTTGTGCTTTTTGTGCAAGTAATTGGCCCGACCAAGCCACTTTCTCAAGTCTTTTGGAGCGTAGCACTGATTGGTTTTACGATAATCTTATCCCGGTGAGATCTGACCACAGGAACTGCTTCCAATAATGAAAAGAGGAATTTCGTCGGCGCCGAAGATGCGCTTCGATATTGGTGAATAGCTAGCTTGAGCGCTGTTTGCGTGTGTCTGATGTGGTTAGTTAACCGGCGTTAGACACATTTATTGACAAATATATCGCTGGAATGGGTCTGTGCACAACTTCGATGTGGCTTGAATATCTGCAACACCACATATCTGGTGCATTAGACAGTCTCTGTGGCATAATCGACCACTCCAATAGCATCCGCTCGGAGTAGTCAGCACAGTGAGAGGGATATCTCACTGTAGTTCACCAGCTGTTTAAAGCGTTTTTTAGCCAGGTCGAAGTCACTGAACGTAGTATACTGTACCGTCGCACATTTTTGAAATCGAATTTGCGCCGGAACCGTGATTGTATCTAACTTATTGTGAGCAAACACAATTTAACACTTGCCGTTAGACTTTCTGACAAAACGGTCGGCGCCGAATGTAGCAGAGCTTTACGTTTTCCCACCAATTATCATGGAAGGGTATTTTTACAGCTTTACGAGAGCTTCCATCGGAGGATGTGACGATAGACGAATAACCCCTAAGACTACACCGCTTATTACATTCACGAAAAAAGCTTTATCGCCACTTAATTATGAAGCTTCACTGACCCGCACGGTGAAATCTCACTCGGCAGTACTAATGCAAACATAAATTACCATTATTCTTCTCTCAAGAGCTCGACCCCTTTTACTCGTGAGTAATTGTCGCCCTCCGACTCCATCGGTTTTGGCGTGGGAAATCGCGATATCCAGTTTCTTCCACTCTCTACCGGCCCTGGCAGAGGAGACAACAACCCATGACCATTCAATCTTGTCTCACCAAAGATACACTCTCGAGGACACAACATTTACAATCACCCCCTTGTCTGTATTGTCATTAAACCGTGACTTACTGCCAGTTCTGCCTTTCAGGCTCTGCTTGAGGCATCTGTCAATTTCATTGCTATTGATTGTGGACAATTCGATGTTTTGCTCAATAGCTGTCAAAGCTTCGTGCCCGCGCCTTGAGCTTTTTTTACTGGCAGAGGAAGTACCCATGCTCAAACGAAAGAAAATGCATGGCACCTAATTATCCAGTTTTCGATCAACCAGTGGCTCGTGGCGTTCTAGTTACGCCATACCTATGGTGAGATTTTATTTTGAGTTCAGTATCAAGACGAAACAGCTTCGTTCGGTGATAATCATCAATTCTACAAAAAAATGTTACCTTTGACAGCTTCACAATGCTCCGGGCAAGACGTACGGATTTCCGTATCCATATTTGACGTTTTCAATGCCTCCGTACTGTTTACTTTTCAGTAGTCTGTAGTGAGTGGGGTCAGGTCCCGTTACACATGTTGTGTGGACCACATACTTTGTGAATTAACACATCAACTGTACACCCTGTATCGTTGTATACCCCCTTTCAGTTTTGTTGTTTTAGAACTGGAAGTACTTATCAGGTTAGGGAGGGTACAAGCCTATTGGCTATAATAACTATTACTTGACCCTTTTCCCCTTTTACCTAAGTTAACGGCCGGCTGG